ATTTAAATTATTTTGTTGTTTATATATGATAGTATACAATATTATTTTAAAATAATTACATAGTTGTAATATAAATAAATATTTAATCGAATTTGCCACATAAAAGAAGGTAACAAAGTAAAACTCTAGGCAGTTTTGGGGGAGGGGGGAGGAGGGCTCCAATTGCCCCCTCCTCGAGTCGCCACTGATCTTATACGTCCACAAACAGTGTGTTCGCGCGAATATGTGCCCCCACGACTCACCGTGACCCCTGCCGGATCAGAGTAGAATTTTAAGTCTTAGCTCGTCAAATAGTTCTCAATGTGTAATGCGTTTGTGTCACGATTATTAACTGACTTCTTGCCTACAAGTAAGACTGCAGCGTTTCATATATCTTTACATAACAACAAATAAAGAGTTAGTACCGAAACCAAATTTTAGGTATTTTAACATTTTATTAATTTGTAAGTGCTCTATTACATTATGATTTGTCATGGCGTACTGTGTTAACTTTATTGCCAAAAATACATACAGAAATAAATTTACAAACACTAAATTTTATGATGGGAACACTCAGAAGTAAATTTTATACGTTTCTCAGTTAGGCCAGTCCAATAAAACTAAAAAACTAAATTGTTCATTGTCAATGCAGCTTGATACTTTCTCTTGTTCATTTGGAGTAATATACGCAATAAAAAGAACATACGTTATGATGCGGAAAATCGATTCCGAGATGTCAAGGAAAATACATTTTGGGGTCCCTTAAATCAAAAAAGTATTTTTTTAAACGTCCGTCGCTCTGTCTGTCCGACTATAAACAACACTAGCTCCTAAACTATTTGTAGAATATTTTACAAAATTATTATTTACAGGTCTATCTGGTCCAATTTAAAGATGTGCCATTTTGAAAATCATTCTTTAAATTTTGGGTGTACTTAACATGACGCCTCTGGGACAAAACTTTGAAATTTTCGCTGTTTTCCTACAACTACAATATTGAAAATAGTGATTTTTCTTCAGTTGACATTTATTCTCAATATATTGTAACGAATATTACATCACCTGTTGGGATTCGCTGCGCGAATTGCGTCATCTACCGGCGCCCCCCTCCCCCCCGAACTGGACGATTCCGGGTTATTCGCTAGTCGCGTAGAAATGTTGCCCACGATCCTGATGGCTCGAGGCGGGCGCCGGCCAGGTATAAATTCGTCACTGTTGTCGGCTGAGAGTAGTAGTCGGAAGTAAGCAGCCGTCAGTCAGTAAGAAGTAGAAGTAGTAAGTAGCCAGTCCGTCAATGTGAGTATGCAGTAGTCTGTCTGAAGTGGAAGCTGAGCTGTGAAGTTTGCATCACGGTAAACAGCAGTGCAGTGGACCCTGGTCTACGCCGTGAATTGTGTCTGCGCTGTGAATTGTGGTCTGCGCAGTGAATTGAGGTCAGCGCAGTGGACCGTGGACAGTGCATCGGACTGTGCGATGTCTGTAAATAAATCAAGTATTACTAGTGTTTCATTGTTAACAAAATAAACGTTTTGTTAAAATTTTACCTGTGTGTGTTTTAATTCACCACGGAGAAACATTACATTATAGTTCTTTAATATTTTTTTAAATTTCGGCTTTTGAGCGTTGTATTACAAAATTGCTAGCAAAACATATTAAACAATGACGTTCAAAAGTACATTCATTCTAAAAATAGTATCGGATTTGGTTTCTATCACGACTAAATATCCAGACATGTCTGACTTTTACCACTATTGTTTTATAGGAATATAAACAGGAAAATAACGCTCGAAAAGTTGATAAAATCGTAAATAATTACTTCCAATTAAAAAAAATGACCTTAAATATAACGTCTGGAAAATGAAATGAAAATTTAGGAATCTAAGAATGTACTTCACTTCTTGAAAAAATTGAGTATCACTTTTGTTGAGCGTTCTGTGGTCAATTTAAATTACACAACACTTAGAAGTGATCACAGTCCACATCCTATGTGTTTGATTTGAGGATATCATACTTAGATCAAAATCTCAGGAGTTCTATTAAGGAAACTGGGAATTCCCTGTGTATCATAAATAGGAGTCAAAAAAGGCTCACACCAATACTATCAACATCCATAAGATAATAATGGTAGAAAACGTGATATATGGGGCTTTAAAGGAAGATCCACTGTAGATTGCGGAAAGAATGACGCAAGATTACAACCTGTCACTTGAGTGCTCAGCACTTGAGGACGTCCGCACAGATAAGCCGGTGAGAGGCAACAGTTTGTCACAAGAAAATGATGGTGACGTCGACAAACCCGAAAGATATAAATGCACTATTTGAGACGTGTGATTCCTCAGATCAGGATTATTCTCTGCAAGGTAAGCATAGACTACGAGATGAATGCACTTATTCATGTGATGTTGTAGGCTTCGGGTCTCCGGATGAGGCCGCATTAAAACATTCATAGATGAGTCAGAGCTGCTGCTATTAGTAAAAATTAATGCAAGCATTATTTATGTACTCGTGTGAAATGAAAAGCTATAATACAGAAAGTACAATTAGGTATCGACTTATAAACTGCATTTTCATTTCGATTCATATCGGACTTAATTTAGAGTACTTTAAATAATAGTGGAAATAAGTGTGTTTTTTGAAACGATTATAATGATTTTCCCAATAATTTTTCAAAACAATTAAAAATAATTTTCCTAGTTTATTTTTCATTTCACAATATAAGAATAACTGAAAGTGCTTACCGAGAAGGAAATTATAGCTTTTGAAATTTTTGCATTTCATATCCTCATCCACATGAACAATGTAATTGACTGGTTAGATTAATATTATTTTAAGATTGCACTGTACTACAGTTACGTGACATTTAACACAATTTTACAAACGCGAATAAACTTCATAGAAATTGCTGAACAAAACGCTTTGGAGTTTTTTGGTATGATGAGTACTCTTTTAGAGTTTCAAATAGTTTTACATACCATTGTATACCCATATTGAAAGTACCCAAATAATATTCCAAACACATTAAGCACGAATGGACAATGAATTTTCAGGAGATAATATAATTGTAAATAATTAAATAATAAATAATATTTACTTATTAGCATATTATGTTCACATAGAATCTGATGTATGAGCAAAGATATTGAAGGTGTTGTGTGATTTCAGATGTTCCAGTGTTCAACAATGGCTCGTATGATCTTGGGTCTGCTCTTATGTGCGGCATTGGCTGCAGCAGCGCCTAGTCGAGACTCTGCAGAATCTGCAGAATCTGTTGTTAACAACAGGCCCATTATTGGTACGTTTAGCGCAAATAAGAGGGTTATGTATTTACGCTCTTCCATATTTCAATCGGTTAACAACACGTACCATCACTATAGAAAGGAAATTAATGAAAAATTAAACAGTATTTTACTGAGTGTAATAAGTGCAATAGAATATGAGTTAATATTTTGTTGTACATGGAAAATCAACTCATTGCGACAATGTTCCATATATGTTGCAAAATATTCTCGTGCTTCAATGCGTATTAATAAAACTTTGTTACTGAATAAAATCAGAAAGAAATTTAATTAATTTTCATAAAGATGCATTTGAAACTTCGTAACTTGAGTCAGTTAGTTCTCTGCAGGTAAAGACGAAATACGTTGAATGCTATTAAACTGATAAAAATAACTCGCGTACTTCTTAATATAAATTTATGATAAGTAATTTACAATATTTTCAATGTGAATAATAGTAAAATATGCTTTGGATGATAATAATATCAATAACAAAAAACATAATAAGTTAATTTGATGGTATTGCAGGTGTCCTTGCTATGGAAGTGGGCCCCACACCACTTGCACAGTATGGCAACTACACGAGTCACATTGCTGCATCTTACGTAAAGTTCCTTGAAAGTTCGGGAGCGAGAGTAGTGCCTATCATGTAAGTACTAAGCACAAGTACTCATGCAAATCTAATAAAAGAAAATGCTCGTTTAATATCAAAAGCTTTTTGCCTTGTTTTAGGATTAACCAGGCGCCATCTTACTACCAAAAAATTGTTAAGACTGTTAACGGGTAATTACTACGTTGAAAAAATACATTAAAAAACAGGATTTATGATCTGACATAAATATAACATTTTTTTATGTTTTCAGAATCTTCATTCCTGGAGCAGTATCATTTACGGAAGAACAACAAGAGTAAGTTAATGTTTTCTTATAATTGGAAGATATTTATTGAATTCCCGGGTTACGAGCTGTCGCGTTATTTAATCATTTTAACTAATGAATACCAGTCACATGAGTGTTGAAAACGTGATCAGAAGACAATGGTGTAACTAAACAGTTTTAGAGGTGAGTTTCTAACTCATTAGCTTCAACGCCATGTATGTTGGAATCGCATTTAAACTGTGTAGTGATTTGGGGTATTTCCTTCCTCCTGAGATTAGTTCAGAGCCAGAATAGCCGCTGACTCTACATCGACTCTGACCGGACGTTCCGGTCAAGGGGTCGAGTCACGACGGTGGAGGATGTTCGATACTACATAGATAGGTCCAATTCTAGCGGCTGGTCGCTCTGGCCGGTAGTTTTCTGTGATTTCTTCGATCAATGCAAGGAGAATACCGAAGCAGTACCCGCGCACAATCTTTCCTTCCTCTTCATTGTCCTATCGTCTACCCTTATACACGTGGTACTTCACTATCTCACCTATCGTTGGCATGGAGCTTGTCCTGACTGGTGTCTCTCTGGAGGAGATACCTCGAGAGGGAAATTCAATGCAAGCTGACGTGTGAGTCGCAATCAGATCCCACCATCGTGTAGGGAGGAACACCACCACCTGCAGGCATAAAAGCACTCACCACCTGCAAGCATAAACATAATCAGTCAACTCACTCGTGTACGATGCTCATTTTTCGCCTGGTCTTGCAGTGCAATCCTGAGCCGCGGGGTGGACGTGACGGGCAGCGGGTACGCGGTCGCGGGCTTTTTCCTCTACAACTTCGCCCGTCTGGAGAACCTCAAAGGCAACTACTTGCCCATGTGGGGCACGTGCCTGGGCTTCCAGCTGATGAGCTTCCTGGCGACCGGCCCGTCGCTCAAGGCCCTCAACATCCGCGTGCGATGCAACAGCGACAACCAGATCATCCCCCTCGAGTTCACGAACGGTAGGTATCGGCGGCGCCCTCCATTTCTTTGTGGCCGAGGTTTCGCATGGTTTGACCATCTCCCTTCCATCTGTAGTTCTTTGACATAAGAGAGGAATCAACTTTGAGCTCCATGTACTGGGCACTTTCAATATTTTATTTATTTACACCATGCTCTGAAAATATGTGTGTGCCTACGAGGGTAAATCATGTATCGAATGCTTGAGTCATATTCTCTTGTACTCAGCTTACATTGACGAATTTTTGCCTTACTTTGTAATAATCGACTATATTTTTGCACTAAAATTAAGCTATCAGAAACTTAATGAACCATTTTAATTGATCATTGGTAAGCACGCTTAATAAATTCAAAACTGGTTATTATTCTCCATATATATTATACGTAAAGAGTACATGGAAAATGTTCCTTTTACAGACGTTCGCTCCAGTCGCCTGTTCAGAAATGCTCCGGAAGAGATCATGACCATCCTTAGGGAAAAGAATGTCACTGCCCACTACCACAACTACTGCGTCACTGAAGAGGTAGGTTTATCTGCATTCACTTTTAAGTATATGATCACGTGTGAATTTTTATACTACAAATTGTCACTTTCACTCAGTAGAAATTACTCTGAAAATTAACAGAAAGAGGCAATCCTTAGACATTTTAAACGAATATTTACATGAGTGTTAAATGTCCATTTTTAAAAGTTATGTTCAGAAAATCTTTATCTGCGCCGATGAGAGATGACTATCAAATTCACCGCCGAGATTTTCCCTTCTCATTTATTAACTACCTTGTTACAGATAAGGAGAATCTGATTTTGGTGCTTCAGTTAAAGTTAGACGAATTTGGTAGACTAACGATGACCAATACAATCGTCAGCGTCACGCCACAATGATAGGATGATATGTTAACTCAGATAAACACTACGTCAAAAAGAACACACTATTATTTGATTGATAAAGCAGGGCGTTTAATGGAGTATTGTCTATCGAGTAAGCTGGGTGTGACCTACCGTTCCTCACGGTTAGAACGCTTTCGACTCACTATTCAGGGCAAGTAAAGCGCCATTCGACATGTGTCGATATGCTGATGAGGAACTGACCATATTTTGTATCTTCCAGTTCATTCCAAGAGAATTCTAAAAAATCGTTTTGGATCTTTGGATTGTTAACCATCTAAAACACATTTGACGAAACCTGTTTCCAACACAAACCAATTGGTACGATTTTTCGGCAGTTACTTCTACAATATTTTAGAGGAAATCTGAAAAAAGTATTTTTAATCAATCACTAATAAAAAAGGTTATTTAAGGGCATGCATAGCTAGCTAAAAGTTAAAGTTTCAGCACTAGAGCTAAAAGTGAGACTATGCTTGCATGCTCGGGTAAATAAGTATATGCAAAAAACAAAAAAAAACAAACAAAACCACAAAAAACATTTGTCTGACCCCAGCAGCTACCTCTTGAATAAATACGGCTGTCTAAACGATAGTGTGTGACACACGTAGTAAAAGTGATTTTATTTTGCTCTTAGGACTGCGCCACTCTGCCCGTCGGCATCGTAAAACTTAAAAACTACAAAATAAAATGTCACTTTTATCACTCGTATCATAAATAAGTATTTAATGTTTAAAGGCATCTACAGCGGTGAAATGCTGTAAATGCAGATGTGAATACAAACTTTCAGGCACAACATGAATAATTATGACTTTATTAATAAAATTGGCAATAATTAAACCTAATTTTAGAATAAGATACAAAATTTCCAAGTGATTTATTTCTTAATTTTTCATGCAACTTTCAAGTCCGTCGGTGGATGAGTCAGGCAAGAGTATGTTTAAAATTTATTTTAATTAGAAATGTGTATAACAAACAAAAACGTGCTACGTTAAGTCAGTATACGTTATACGCTTCGTTACTATGATGTTTCCTTTATTTTTAAAATTGATTCATTGATGACCGTAAAATGTA